ATTCTCTTTTTTTTTTTGAACAAGAAAAATTTATTTGTAAATTCCCTCCCACTTTGTAAAAAGAAAAAACCACTTTGTAAAAATGTTCGCATGTTCTCGGGTAGAAACTGAAAACTTATTTTATAAACCAAAAAATTCATATAATAAAAAAAGAGAACCTTCGCCTTCATCAAACAAAAGTAAAATAACATTTAATTTACCTTGTAATAATAATAATAATAATCGTAATAATCGTAATAATAATAATAATTCCATGATATCAGAAAACGATTCACAACAAAGAATGAGGTTTGAAAAATATCATGAAGCAACACTTAAAAGGAATCAATTACAACAAGAATTACAACGTCGACATCAACTTTGCGCGGAAAAAGAAAGACTTTGCAGAGAAAGAGCGGAAAAACAAATGGCACTTAAAAAAGTTGAAGAATGTAACGCTCTAAGAAAGTTTTATGAACTTAAATCAGCTCAACTTAAAAATAATAATGGGTTAAGAACTAGCTGCAGTAGTAATTCTTTAAGTTCCAATTCAACATTATCATCATCATCATCATTATTATCAAAAAATTCAAAAAGTTTACCATCAAGGACAATGAGTTCATCAATCAAAAGATTTCAAGCCGCATTTAAAATTTATTCATTCATAAAGCATCATATAGAAAAGAGAAAAACTTTGAAAATCATTTCATATCTCTCAAAACTTCGTTCAATGCAAAATCAACTTTTATTATTAAAATCAATTAATTTAAAAGGTAATCTTACTTTTGAATCAAATAACAATCAGGTTTTACCTATTTCTGTTGATAATAAAGCATTTTTAATTTATAAAGAATCTATTTTAAAGATTCTTAATAAATTAAATAATGATTTTTCTGATGAATATTATTTGGTGAGAGAGAGAAAATTTTCTATAATAAATACTGTAAATATTATGTTAAGTGAATTAGACAATTTTCGTGTTCTACAATATAAAAATTTCATTAAAAACATTGAAAAACAACACAGACAAGTCGATGACGATTTTGTAATTATAAATAGAATATAAAAAAATTGTTTTTTTTTTATTTATAATATTTTTATTTTATTTTATTTTATTTTCATTTTTATTTTTTATTTATTATTTTATTTTTTTTTTT